TGGGATCATAAGGATGGGCTCCTCAGGATGGGCTCCCCAGGATGGGATCACTGGGCACTGACGGCTTCGGGAGCGCCGGTCCCACTGGAACCCTCAGAGCAAGGTCTGGGAGCAGGCAGAGCACCCGTGTTCCCAGCAAGAATCACAGAGTCACAGAACGTGCTGAGTTGGAAGGGACCTACCAGGATCATCCTCAGCCCTGCACAGGCCCATCCCCAAGAGTCACACCCTGTGCCCCAGAGGATCATCCAAACCCTCCTGGAGCTCTGGCAGCCTTGGAGCTGTGCCCACTGCCCTGGGGAGCCTGGTCAGTGCCAACCACCCTCTGGGGGAAGAACCTTTTCTGATATCCCACCTAACCCTACCCTGACACAGCTCCAGGCCATTCCCTGGGTCCTGTCCCTGGTCCCCCCAGAGCAGAGTTCAGTCCCTGCCCCTCCTCTGCCCCTGCCCAGGAAGGTGGAACTGCAGTGAGGTCTCCCCTCAGTCTCCTCTTCTCCAGCTGAACACACCAAGTGCCCTCAGTGTCCTCACACGCCTTCAAATCAAGGCCCTTCCCCATCTGTGTTGCCTCCTTTGGACACTCTCTAATGGCTCAATCTCTTCCTTCCATTGTGTCCCCCTAAACTGCCCCAATGGTGCAGGTGAGGCCCCCCCAGGGCAGAGCAGGGTGGGACAATCCCCTCTGTGGCCAGGCCGGTGATGCTGGGCCTGATGTCCCCAGGACAGGGTTGGCCCTCCTGGCTGCCAGGGCACTGCTGACTCAGGGCCAACTGGCCACCCACCAGGACCCCCAGGGCCCTTTCCCGGCACTGCTCTCCAGCTTCTCATTCCCCACTCTGTCCATTCATCTGGATTTGCCCCATCCCAGGGGCAGAATCTGACACTTTCCCTTGTTGAGAGGCCACATCCCAGCCTGGTCCAGCAGCCTGGGCAGAGGCACCTCCAGGTACAACTCAGCACCGGGCTCTGTTGGGTACCACAACATCACACACATCCTCACCATGTCCTTTTTCAGTGTCTTTCTCTATCCAGCTTCACGGCTGCACATTGACCCACACACTTTGCTGGCTCGAAGATGTGTCCAAGAGAATTGCTGGCTGCAGTTCCATGTGGGAAGGGAGGAGACAGTTGTAGGCTCTTTCCTAAAATACAGTCAGAGAGCAGAACACCAAGTGCAGCTCAGTTCTTAATCTCAGCTCCAGGATGAAATATGGTCTCTGTCCCAATAAAGTAGATAAACTGAGCCAAGGCTGGAGGCCCAGTCCTTTGTTAGTACCATGTCCCGGAGAGAAAGTGTCTTTTGGCAGCAAATGGGATGGAAGCAGACCAGACAATGCTTGAGGACACAGCCAGCCTCAGAGGGGATCTGATGGCTCTTGCACAACCCTCCAATAAGCTTATGGACTGAAACACCTGTACATGATCCAGCATCCAGGACAAGGAACTTTTTTTCTCCAGCATCCTTGTTCTAATTTCCCACCCCAAACTCAGAGCTCTCCAAAGGCTGTCCTGCTCTGGCACCCAAGATGCAGCCTTTACTTCCCTTCTCAGCATTCCTGCTGCTCCACTCTGCCTCCTGCTACCTCCCCAAAGGCTGCCTCCAAAGCAGCCAATGCTGAGACAGAGGAGCTACAAGGAGCACCGCGAATGCTGCTGCTCACCAGGTGGAATTGTCATCCTGGAAGCTTCCAGGGTCCTTGCTGTGGACACCCAGCAGCTCTGGCAACTCCAAAGCCTCAACTTCTTGTAGTGGCCCACACCTTCCCCAGGGGAAAGGCCCAGATCTTACCTAAAGTGGGGGGCAGTGAGCTTGGCTGGGCACGTTGCTCTCCTCCAGCTTAGGGAGATAACTGGTTTCCGTGGACCATGTTCACAGGTGACAAGGCACAGGACATGGATGTCCTAGTCGGGTCCTCTATGAGCAATCATGTCCCATATCTGGATACCCTTCACTCCCACCTTCCAGATTCAAGGAGGAGCTTTTCCCACCATGTGCTCTGTCATATCTCTGGGACCATGGGCTTCTGTGAGGGCACTGTCCCCTTTTAGGACATCTCTGTGATGGTGGAGAGCAGGTTCTCCTATCATACCCCAGCAGTGGTCTATGGGCCCTCAGTGGTCTGTGCTGCACTCCAGGGAGCCTGGCAGGATGCCAAGATTCTTTGGGCAGGGCATTGAAATTTCCTGGGAGGAATGGTGGGGCCTACAAAAAGAGAGGTGGAATCAGTTCTCTAAAATTCACTGCACCTATGCTGGGCTTGGACACAGCTGTGACAGCCACATCCCACACATCTGCTTCGGGGTTTGGGTCAGACTCATCCAGTGAAAAAAAAACCAACCATGTAGATGGTTCTGCTGTTTGCAAACAGGCTGTGCTTTTTTGTGAATGGGTTCATTCACCATCCGCCTGAAAGGGCCATTTTAGCCAATGGCCAGCTCACAGGCCGCTGCCTCCCAGCTCCTCGGGATTTGCTCCATGTGGATCTGCCTCTCTGATTGGGCTCCCGGCACCACATGACGTGGTCCTTTCTCCTTGATGGGGTGTCTTGACATTTTTAGGCAGAATACCAAACAGCTAACAGCGAAGAGCAGCCGTGTCCCTGGGATGGTGCTGCTGTTCATGTTTGGTTTTAATCACGGAGGGGGAAGGGAGGCTCATGCACGGGTTGTGCAGTTGAACCAGCAGCCCGTCTGACACCTCTGGAGTGACAGTGAGTAAAGCTTGGTACTGTTCCTTCATGGCGAGGGGTCAGGGTCCTGCTCTGCTGGGCAGCAACTGGACATGTGGTTGGGTTTGCTATCCATGGAAACAACTAAGGAGAACTGCAAAGGAGTGGAAAGGCAGCCTGAGGTGCATCTTGCACAGAGGAAGCAGAACCTCCACCCTTGTACCTGGCAGCCCTGAGGAGATAGTGAGACAAGAGCCCACCTCTGCCCACCCCATGGGGCTTATCTGTGGTCATCACAGATCATTTAGGTTGGAAACGACTTGTGAGATCACTGAGCACAGTGTGCTCTGGCCTGTGCCAGCACTATTAACCTCAGTGGTGTGGCAGGGTTTGCATTGTGGTGATGAAAGAGGAGCTGGAGGTGCCTGAGGAAGTGGGTCCAGCTCAGCAGTCAGCAGGACGGGCTCACCAGGGACCTGCTGGTGGACCACGCAGGGTGTGCTGAGAAAATGGCTTTCCCTGGTAGCTCCTGGTGGCCGTGACAGGCTGCAAAGGCAGAATGACACCAAACCCTCGGGCCGGAGGGGGAGACGAGCACAATTTTGCATGTTGCGAAAAGTCCCAGTTTAGCCTGGGCTTTAAAGTTTGAGGAGGCCAATTACTGCCTCCTGTCCATTCATCTGCCTTTCTAGGAATGATGAGCGATGGGCTTAGGTCATCACCCAGGCCTGAGTCAGATATCTCAAGAGCTGCCATTAGACATCTGCGAGCTCTGGCCCTGTGAATCTGGGTCACCCTGGCAGAGCCAGTGCGCCGACAGAAACTGCATTCCTGGAGACCAGCCTTAGCTGAGGGGACCTGAACTAAACGGGGAGAGGCAGGATGGGAAAATCGGGATGAAATACCCTTTGTCAATGGAGACAAAAAAGTTAACCTGCTGCTGGTGTTGAAACCAAACTGGGATGTGAAAGAGGAGTGGAAAAGTGTCTCCATCCCACTGAGTCAAATGTCAGGAGCTATCCCGAGTTCATTCTCCCTCCCAAGACAAACAGGGTCATCTAAATCTGGGGTCATGCATGAGAAAGCAGTTCACCAAGTCATAGAAAGACCTTGACATGCAGAAGGAAGATATGGAGACCTCTGCAGACCTGAGAGAGGGGCTCTGCTCCAGCTGGGCTTTGTAGGGACTATAAGGAAGAGATCCAGCTGTGATCCAGCCAAGGGAGCTGCTGCAGCACAGCATGTGGTGTTGGAGCAGGTGAGCTCTGGCCAGCACTTGCTGTAGAGAGGAAAGCTGCCTTTGCTTTCCCATCATGCCGGTGGACATGTGCCTGCAAGACATGGGACAGCCATCGGGTCCATCTGTGCTCTGCCCTGCCTGAAGGAAGAAGGGGTTAAAGAGCTGATCCTCCAGTTAACCACCTTCTGCTTAAGCCCAGAGACTCAGTGTGGAGAAGGGAGACTTCAAAGCATGGGGCTCGCTGCAGCTTCACAGGGCATGGACATGGTCCTCCCGCAAACACCGCTGACGGAGGGTGCCCAGGAGGGGTGTGCACACCCTGTCAGTGCGTGGCCGCGGCCGTGCGCGTCTCCTGACAACATAATGACAAGCAGAACCCAAGTTAGAGGATGGCACCCACCCTCGGAGCTCCAGCCCTTTTCCCAGTCCACCACTCTGGAGCTCAAGGGGAAAGGCCCATGTTTTCAGAAGCTGGCACCCACCACCTCTCGGGGTTCTGCCGGTTCTGCCCCCTTCCCCCTGCAGCTCGTCCCTTAATCACAAGCAGCTTTGGGGAGACAATGTAATAACCGCACCAAAGAACCAGGCTTGTTCCCCTTTGTCTTCCTCTCCTTTGAGGCTCGGCAGACAGGCGAGCCATCACGCCCACGGCCCAGCCGTCACACGTCCGACTCATCGCCTCCCAGGGCAGACGCTCGGGAGGCTCCTCGACACGAGGTGACTGCACATTGGCACGAGGTGACTGCACATTGGCACGAGGTGACTGCACATTGGCACGAGGTGACCGCGCTCCAGCGCCGCGGCAGATCGGCGAGGCAGGGCCGGGCGAGCTGGCACACACCCCATGGTGGCTGCCCTCTGCTCCCTGGCCTGACCTACACCCAGCACCTTGGCTCTTGTGTTTTCTCCTCCAGACGAGCCGTCATCTCAAGCGGGACCACTGAGTTCTCCCCAGAGACGGCGGCAGCCCCCCTCCTCCCTCCAGCACATGGCATGGGGGCTTTTAGGCTGGTTTTCACTGGAGTTCACACAAATCTCGCCTTCCCCGTTCCCAACCCCCACCTTCCCCGTGCAACTGAACTCAGCCATTGAGCCCAGCGAATGGTTTATTTCCCAGGTTAGCACAAAGCAGGGGTCTCTGTGTGCCCCTGGAACCAGCAGAACAAAACGCACAAAGACGTTAGAGGGCCATTTGTAACCAAATCCCAACACACCAGATACTGTTGGGATTATGTCAGAAATATTTTCCCAGAATGCCCTCCCCCCATGCTCCCTCCTACAGATGTTCGGCCCCCACACCACAGATGTTGTTCCTCTTGCAAAATGAGCTTTCCCCTTCCTCTCCCAAATGCCCCTGATGTTTTGCACATTGCCTTTGCCGAGCTCTTCTTTTCACCCTGACCTCTGCATCCCCCCCTTCCCCAGTCCCTCGCCGCTGAACGCGTGAAAAGGCCAACCTGCCTCCTCATGCGGGGCCGAGCGGGTGGCTGCAGGGCTCTGCAGGGACTTGGGCTACTGGATGTCACTGTCCCTCTCACACCTTGTCCCCACCATACCCTTCTCAAAGCTCTCTCCCTCTTTTGACTTCAATCTCTGTGTGACCTCCAGCTCTGTGGGCCTGCTCCATGGGGCTCTCCGGACCTCAGTCCCCTCAGAGGATGATGGAGGGATGTGAGCTAGACCCCTCAGAGGGCCCTGATGCCTTCCCATGGGCTCAGTGCTGCTTTCCTCTCCTGCATGCCAAGCTGGAAGGGGACGGGGTCTCCCCACCACTCCACAGCAGGCTTGGCAGAGCGTGACTCCTCGCTGGCAAGAGCCTTCGGCAGCAGTTTGTTCCTCGGGGATGCCGGGCGCGTTTCAGACACCGAAGGGAACGGCCAGACCTTCCCCTCCAGCACCACCAGCCCACGCGGAACATGCTGGGGATCGGCCTGGCAGCCCGTCAGGGCCGCGCTCCAAGCCCTGTGACAGACAGACAGACAGACAGATCTCCGTCAGGAGCGGGCTCGCACCGCCAGTGCCCCCCTCACCAGCGCCGGGTTCCTCCCCAGCCTGGCTGCCGGCAGCCTGCCCGTGCCGAGCCGGCCCGGCTCTGCCTTGCCCTGGCTCCACGAGCTCTGGTGGGAGTGGGGGGTCCCGCCGGCCCCGGCACACGAGCTGAGGGCACTGTGTGCCACCGCAGGGTCAGCGCTTCCTCCTGACCCCGCACACCCCCAGAGGCGCCGCGGGGAGAGGTGCCAGCCCCGGGGCTCCGTCGCGGCAGCAGGGCCGAGCGCAGGGCTCGTCTCCATCCTTCCCTCCTGCGCTAGTGGCGGCAGCCGAGAAAAAACATTTGTTCTGACACACGCGGGGCTGCCAAGCTGTGTCAGGCGCTTTGATGGCCGGGGCAGTAACCTCGACCGCTTCCTCTGCCAGCGGGAGAGCCGAATCCAAGAGCCACAGAGCATGGAATCTCCCAAGGACTTCAGATGACACCTCCAGTCCGGGACATCGCAGCTCTTTTACGCGTTACGAGACATTTCTCTCCCGTCTGTGCTTTTTTTCTCTCCCCAACAGGTTATACACGCAAAGAAAACCCAGAGCGGGATCCCGGAGAGGCAGAAACCGGTGGAGCTGTCCCGACCTTCGGGGTGTCTCGCGATTTACGCCAGCGTGGCCCAGCCAAAGCCCTTTACTCATCACCTGCTCCGAGCAACAATCCGAGTCTCCGCTGGTCTCCCAGGGAGCTGGGGTGCAGCACGGGGTTTTTCTTCAAAGATAGAGTTTATTGCTAAAAATGTTTTGATCAGTGATAGCTCATATTTACATTGATATGTTTTTAAAGGAATATTCAAGTAAACATTTCCAATAGTTTCTGGCATAATCTCTAGCTTTTTTTTTCCTATACACAAACGTTAAAAATAAATAAACTGTACAATGAAAATTTCCTTTAACATCTCTACACGACTATATGTATTCCCACACAACAAAACAATTCCACTCTTTCATAGATTTGTACTTTTCTTTAAAATTTCCTCCTTAATTAATTGTTATACACTTTAAAAAAAACAAACAAACCCTAGAGAGCTTGGCAAATTAGTTCAAACATCAGTGACAAGGTCTGAAGAAGACAAAAAAAAATACAGCACAGAGAAACAACCGTCTTCAGGGATGCTGCTGTTCTTGCTTTTCTTTTTTGTACACCCCCCGCCCCTTTTCTCCTTTTGATAAAATCCTCTTTACAAGAAATTTCTGCCCTCCCCTTCAGCAGGGAAGTGCTCGGGTTCTGTGGGGATGGGTTTAAAATGTGGTCCTATGTCTTTAAAATAATAATAATAACAATAATAATTATAATAATAATAAAAAAACAGCTGCGATTTCCCCCCCCTTTTCCTTTAAAATCTCTCTATTTACACGGCTGGTAGGTTTTTTCTTTTTTTTTTTCCTTTCCTTTTTTTTTTTTTTTAGTTTTTTTCTTTTATTTTCCTTTTGTTAGAAGGCTATATACGTATAAAAATAGACATCTGATTGTAGTGCTTTACTGTGCCTTTGGCCTGCCCTGCAGTTCCTGGGTTCGCTTTTTCCCCTTTTGAATAAAATAACATTAAAAGAAGTCCGAGGGAAAAAAAAGTAACCAAAAAAAAATCAAACAAAAAAAGAAATTAACAAAAAAACCCTAACAAAAAAAATTAACAAAAAAACCCCAACAAACAAACAAACAAAAACCAAAACCAAAAAAAAAAAAAAGAAACCACAACAACCCCAAAAGCGGTTCATGTTCCCCCACCCCGCGCTGGGGGGTGGGGGAAAAAAAAAAAACCCAACAAAAAAAACACCCCAAAAATACCCACCCCAAAAAACCCATCCCCTCCAAAAAAAAACCCACCCAAAAAACCTCCCCCCCCAAAGTGATCCGGAGGAGGAGGGCGGCAGTGCAAGGGGCCGGGGAGGCTTAGCAGGAGCACTTGCACTCGGAGATGAGCGGGTACTGCACGGGGATCCAGGTGCAGTATTTCTGGCTGGACCACCCCTGGCAGTGCCAGCGCAGGAAGGTCTTGGTGACCGACTTGACGGGCTTGCAGAACATGCCCTCGGGCAGCGAGCACGACTTCTCGGCCAGGCAGTTGCCCTCCTTGATGTAGCGCGGCCAGAAGCGCACCCCCAGGTCCTTCCAGGCGTAGAGGACGGGGCAGTGGGTGTGCGCCCACAGCCACTGCAGCACCTTCCGCCGCGCCTTCTTGCCCAGCCGCAGGCGGGGGCCCCGGGGCGGCCCCAGCTCCAGCCGCCGCAGCTCCGCCGGCAGCGCCGCCCGCCCCCGCCCCGCCGCCGCCGCGGCGCCCGAGGCGTTGGCCGGCCCCGGCACGGCCACGGCCATGAAGCCGGGGTCGAAATGGCTGCCCAGCTTCTTCCTCAGCGTCCTCTCGTCCAGGTCCTGCTCCTTGGGGTCGTACTCGGGGTCCGGGTGCTCCACGATGTCCTTGACGGGCAGGTTGTCGCTGGGCGAGGGTCGCAGGCGCAGGAAGGGCTGCCCGCCCGCCGGCAGCCCCAGGCACAGGCAGAGCAGCAGCGCCCGGATCGCCGTCATGCTCCGGGCGGGCCCCGGCGCTGCTCCCGGCGGGCTCGGCTCCTAGCGCTGCCCGGCGGCGCCCGCCGGCTCCCGGGGGCTCATAAATAGGCAGAGACACCAGTGTCCGGCGGGGCCCGTTACTTTAAATAGCCCGGCCGGGGTTGTGTGACAGCCGCATCTGAGGCTCGCCCCGCGCCCGCGGCCGCTGGCTCCCGGGGCTCCCCGCCGGGCCGGCTCCAGCCGCGGCCGGCAGCGCCGGGGGGTCCGAGCCTCCCCCGCGGGGCAGGGCAGGGCACGGCGGCGGCCGAGCCTTCCTCCTCCTCCACCTCCTCCTCCTCCTCCGCCGCCGCCGCCGCTCTCGCTCGCTCCCCCCCAAAATTCACAGCGGACTCGTCTCCATCGCCATGGTGACAGCTGGGCCGAGCCCCACGACAGCTCGTCTAGACGGTGTGACAGGGTTTGGCGTGAGACCGGAGCCCGAGAATAAAACCCTCCTTTATAGCCGGGCGCGCCGGGCGAGGGGGCGGGAGGAGGGTCACGGCGCCGGGGCGCTCGGGCGGCCCCTGCGCGGGCACGGCCGG